TTCATCTGCTAGAAAAAGAAGCTTCTTTGATGAGGGCAAGAGATATACTTATCTGTGGGTTTAAGAATAGGTATTTAGAATATGGTTAGAAACTATATTGGTTTAGGGAAATGACGGTAGGAAGTTCTCCTCTAAGGTCCATGACCCTCCAACCACAGATACTTGGCTAGGTTTATAGTACCAGGTGTGAATTTCCCTTCTTTTGAGTGGGTCTTCAGTCTAATTAGACAGCTGTTGGTTACCCTTAAGATAAAAGCACAACTATTACAACATTGGGAATATCTTGCTAGGCCAGTCACTGTTGAGGTGTTGATTACTTTTCTACCTGGCAGCTTACATAGCACCTTCTGATGCTATGAGGGAGGAGGCTTCCAGGCCAGGAGCAGCTCAATCTCTCCAGATTCTGGGTCCAAAGTGTATAGTTTCTTTAGCAATAGAGTCTTACTTCAAGTTCTGGTAGGCAACCAAGTGCAAAGGCAATAGCCTATATTGTTTTTGGAGTCTCTTGAATGCCCTCGACCAACAATTGCAATGGGGATTTCCAGTACTTGACAGTGTCTTTTTATTAGGTAGCCTATGGATTTTGGGGGGAACATCATCACCCTGCACAGAATAACTATTAAAAATATGTGTTTTTATTTTTAAGTAAGCTTATAAAATAATATATTTCCCTATGGCTTTTTCAAGTATCTGTAGTGTAATTTATCTCACCTTCCTTGCCCTCTTCAATTTCCTTCCTCCTCCCTCCCTAGTTCAAGTCACCCCCATCTTTCCTGTTTCTCCCTTCATAGCATCTGTGTCCTACTAAGCCCTCTATAGAGCTCCTTCCCCATCTCCATTCTTTATCTTCATCCTTCATCTACACCCCATCTCTACTCTCCTTTTTGATCTTTCAGCCCCATCTTCCATCTCCACCCTCCGTGTACTTTCCCCATCTCCATCTGCCTCCTTCACCTCCATCCTTTATCTCCAATCTCCATTTATATCCTCTGTCTCCATCCTGCTGACTATGGGTGCAACTTGACCACTGCCTTAAGTTCTTGCCTCCAGGATGACCCCACCATGATGGACTGTACTGTTGAACCCTGAGCCAAAACAAACTTTCTCACTGAAGTTGATTTTGTCAGAATATTTTATCTCAGCAAGAGGGAAAGTAACTAAGACACCAGTTGACATGAATCTAGTGACTTTTAGGCAAGATTTTTTAACATGGATTCATTTTTAAGAGAAAAAAAAACAATTTCCAGAATAAACTCATTTCTAGAGATTAGTTAACCGCCCCCCTAAAAAAAAGAAAAGGTAGCCTTCCCATGTTCAAAGCAAAAGAAAACAAAAAGAAGGGTTTGGCTAGTGTCTAATGGTGGGATTCACGGGGACTGACTAAGGGGGTGTGGAAGACAGGAGGACCTTCCTGTGAGGGTATTGAAACTGCTTTCTGCAGAGTCAAAGAGAAGGAGAAGCTAAATTAAGGGTGACAGGGTCTGCTTCTGTGTTAGGAAGAATCCCGATGTGCCATAAAGAAAAGATAGCCTTCTAGGAAGAGTGTTTAGTGTTGAACATGTTATCCGCAAAGCAGCTGTCTGATCCAAAGGCAAATAACCGTGTGAGCGTGTATGAGCCCAAGGACAGCATTCTTGCTCCATAGGCATACCTACCCTCCACAGATCAGCAGAAGGCTCCCATGCATAGGCCTCACAATGAATGTGCACGTCTGTCGACACTGCCTTGGGCATTTTGAAATTCTCTGCAGCAAAGACAGTGAGTGTGCAGTTTCTGAATGGTGTCAGTCTAGAGGGTGAGTCGGAGACTGTTGGATGAAACCCTATACTCGGTGGTCAATTGAAGGTGCATGTGCCCTGTGACCCATATACTCCCCCAGGGAGCACTTTCTCAAACTTACTGTGAAGATATTGTAGAAGTGTACAATGGTGCTGTGACTCTGGGCTGGGTCTCTTTCTTTCCTTCTCTCTCTCTCTCTCTCTCTCTCTTCTCTCTTCTTTCATTGTTGTGTGTGAGTACATATGCATGTGGGGGCCAGAGGCCAACATTAGCTGGCTTCCTTACCTGCCCTTTTCCTTATTTTTGAAGCAGGGCCTGTCTTTCATGGAACCTGGAGCTCCCCAGTGAGGCTATGCCGTCTGGTCAGCAAGCTCCAGGGATCCACGTGTCCACATTTTCCTGGAACTGGAATTGCAGATGGGTACTGCATGTCTGTCTTTTTATGTGGACTTGGGCATCCAAGCTCAATTCCTCAGGCTTTCAGAGCAAGCACTTTACCCACTGAGTCGTCTCTCCAGCCCTGAGTCTGCCTTTCTTTTTTTATTTTATGTGTATAAGTGTATTTGCCTTTATGTGTGGAAGTGCACCCGTGTCATGCAGTTCCCTGGAGGTCAGAAGAAGGTGTCAGATCCCCTGGAACTGGAGTTACAGATGGTTGTTAGCCACCATGCGGGTGCTGGGAATCGAACCCGAGTCCTCTGCAGTAGCAGCCAGTGCTCTTAACTGTGGAGCCATCTCTCCGGCCCCAAGTCTGCCTTTCTAATTAGCTTGCTGCAGGTGCTATTTGGCACTGGGATAGAGAAACAGCTGGCTAACCAAGAGCTGGATAGGTAATCTGAACCTCAGCTCCTTCTTACAATCACTGGGCGGGGGTGCGTTGTAACCTCTCAAATGCTCTGGGAAAGACCAGGTATCTCCCCAGGTGGTTTCAAAGCTGTGGATCCATCAGACTCCTCCACGGATGCCAGGAGGCAATGCTTACCCAGGGAAGTAGGTCTGCACCTGCAAGACGGGCCCCAAAGCTGCTTTGTGATGGATTCTGTCTGTGAGCTACATCTTGAAATTAGAGTTCTGAGTGACCAAAGCTAATCCATATTCCACTGGTATTAACTTTAAAACATAAAACAAATATATGTTAGATCCAGTAAAAACATTTAAAAGTTGTATAAGAACAATACATGCATTTGGGTCAGGAGTATTCTTTTTTTTTTTTTTTGGTCTTTTTGAGACAGGGTCTCCCTATAGCCCCAGCTGTCCTGGAACTCACTATGTAGACCAGGCTGGCCTTGAACTCACAGAGATCCGCCTGCCCCTGTCTCCCGAGTGCTGGTATTAAAGGCGTGTGCCACCACACCTGGCTAGGAGTAGACTTAAGTCTCTAGGATGGAAATGGAAGCGAAAGAGCATTTTATCTCCTAGAGTTGAAATAATTTATTTTCAGATGATACAATGTGAAAGGAGGGAGGGAATGGGAGGATTAAATACGGGGAAGGAAGGGCTGGAGAGATGGCTCAGTGGTTAAGAACACTGGCTGTTCTTGCAGAGGACCTGGGTTCGAATCTCAGCTCCCACATGGCAGCTAACTGTCTATAACTCCAGTTCCAGGAGATCCTGGGATCCAACAGCTTCTGTCTTCTTCAGGCATTGCACGACACTGGCACACTTACCTACATGCAGGCAATACACACATACACATAAAATAAAAATAATAAATAAAGTATTTAAAAACAAAAATAAGGGGAAGGGAGGAAAGAAAGAAGGGAGGGAGGGGATAGAGGGGAGGGAGGGAGGGAGGGAGAGAAAAATAGAGGCTAAGAAAGGAAAGAGGGCAGATGGGAGGGGAGGGAGGGCAAGGGATGGAGGACTGGAGGGGGGAGAGAGGGGGAGGGAAACAGGGAAGGAGGGAGAAGAGGGAGGGGAGGGGGGAGGGAAGAAGGGAGGGAGAGAAGCAGGGTGGGAGGGGAGCTCTGGTGGTGTCCCCCGGCTGTTTCTCTCTCACTATTTATCAGGTGTTCCAGCGCACACCCAGGGTGCAGAGCTGAAGCCCTGAAATGTTACTGGTCGGGGACCAAGCAAGGTTCAAAAATGATTGTCTACAAAGTGACTCAGAAGGAGAGTCTGACCCTCCCCTCTAGACTTTCTCCTTCAAGGGACTGCCTCGAAACCCAAGACCAAGACCCTCATTTTCTACATGGGGCAGAAACAGGAGGGAGGGGCAGCCCCCCCCCCCCATGTGAAGCCCAGGACATGGAGAGATGGTGCAGTGCCACCACCTGGCATCTGTTTTCAACCTAGGTGTTTCTGAAGGCTCCAGAGAGCCATTACCCAATCAGCCTCAGCCCTGGGCCTTCTGAGGCCCTTCAGCTGGGGCTGCTCCTGACGGGCCTTCCCACCTTTGGTCCTTTTTGGGATCACCTGCTCCCACGCACCAGGGTCTGCCCTCCCATCCTGCTCTGGGCCACCTCTCCTGCAGCAGGGCCTTGCACCTGTGGCCTCTGTGCTGTGCTGACGAGGGAAAGTGTGCCCCAGACTCAGTTTCTGCAGGTGTCGGGTAGTTACATCCACGTTCTCTGCCAGAGAGCCCTCCAGCCGCTCCCTGTGAGCCACATGAGCCGCGAGATAGGGAGGGTTTTGAGTCGCCTATACTTTATTTCTCAAACTCTCGTCAGCAGTTTGTACAAATACTGTGATTATTATTTTAGTGTATTGGTGGGGGTGGGGTGTATGGAGGAGGGGTTAAGTGTAGAAGCCAGGGACTTCTGGAATTCGCCAAGTAGGCTGACTGGCCAACAAGCCCTAGATTTCCTCCATCCTTCACGTTCCCAGCTCTGGATATATGAGTTTATGCCACCATGCCCAACTTTTTAAAAGTGAGTTCTGGGGCTTAAACACTGGTCCTTGTGCAAAGCAAGCACTTTTTAGACTGAGCCATCTGCCCAGCCTGATTTATATTCTTTCTGTAATTTCTACTAGCACTCTCCTGATGATAGATTGCTAACTCTTACTTTTATATAGACATACCAGTAGATTTTCAAGGGTCAGTTTTCATTGTTCCCCAAGACATTCTCTCTCTCACTGAGCCTGGGGCCTCAGGCTGGTACTTTTGGAGCCGTTGAGGAGGCTGCTCTGGCCCTGGGGCTGGTTTGCAATTCCACTGGGGTGCTCTCTGATGAGAAACTCCTCTTCAGGAGTTGACTGAGTATATTTTCAACCTGTTTTAGATCCTACACTATGGAGCACAGACCATGTCCGGCAGTGGCTAGAGTGGGCGGTGAAAGAATATGGCCTTCCAGACGTGGACGTCTTGTTATTCCAGAATATTGATGGGAAGGAGTTGTGCAAGATGACCAAGGACGACTTCCAGAGGCTCACCCCGAGCTACAATGCTGACATCCTTCTCTCACATCTCCACTACCTCAGAGAGAGTAAGCTGCGCTCCTCAGCAGCCACGGCTGTTGCCATGGCTGCAGAATCCACTTCAGAGGGTTCAGACGGGGTGGTGCACAGCATCCTTTGGTTCTCACTCAGCGACCATGTAGGACTGAGGGGACCACATGCTAGAATGTAAGTGGACAAGGCAACCTCAGCTAGTGACAAGGAGGCAACAGTCTTAATTGTGTTTGTCCTCTGCTCCCTCCTCCCTGGTCCCCACAACAGGATGGACTATTGTAGAGAAAGTGGCCACACACTGGCTAGTTTCCATGGTGCTCCAAATTGGAAGGGACAAAAGCCTTGGGGGATTATCGTTCCTAAAGCGAAGTCAAGTCCCTCCTCCCATCCAACCTGAACATAAACGGGGAACCTTTTCACTTCCTATCAGGTACCTTGGCCTAAGCTGACCAGGTAGCATATTAGCAGGTAGAGGCCTGAGCCTGAAGGATGTTGCATGCTCTAATGCTTACAACACCAAGCATGGTCCAAAGGGAGCCTAAGTGCAAGGTGGGGAGGAGACTTCCCCTGGGTCTCTCTGCTTGGCATCCCATCCACTTCTCTCCGGGGTGAAGGCACCCATTTAGGACTTAACGTGCTAACCAGAAGCCTGACAACTGTGTTTCCAGCAGCCCCTGATGTTGGGTGGGTTGGGTTGGGGTGTTTCTTTTCTTTCTGTTTTTTCTTTTATTTTAAAGAAAGGTGATTCTGTCTCTTTTCATTCCCGTGTCGCTTTCTGTTTTGTTTTGTAGCTCCTCTTCCACATTTGACTTCCGATGATGTTGATAAGGCCTTGCAAAACTCTCCACGGTTAATGCATGCTAGAAACACAGGTAATGCCAGCCCTGCTCTACTCCAAGATAAGCAGAGGGTCTTGTCTCTATGTGCTTGCTCTGGAGTACAACTTGGGCCAGGTCAGAGGTTAGAAAACAGAAAGTGGGGTGAAGGAAGGAGAAGTCCTTTGATATCTGAGCACTTCCTATCATCCCTTACCCCCTTTTAACCAAATGTGCAAAAGTAGTCACAACTACAGCCCAACTCCATGGAGTAAGGTATTAGTCCCAGTGTGTCAGTCCTGTAGGGACTAAAACCTTGCCTGGCATGGAGGGGCCAGAGGGATCTCTTGATCTCCATTTCTACTCCCACAGTAATGTTTTCTAAGATACCTTGGTATTCTGATTCAGTTTGGGGCCATTGGACTTGTTTTGACTTGATACGGATTTGGATGTTTGCAAAGGGCAATCAGAGAAGGTCATACTTTTTTTACAAACTTGTATTCCAGAGGAAACTCTGCTGCAATTTTTCAGAATATAAAATCAGTCCCTAGCCCAGTGCCTGCTTGCTTCCTGTCCCTAACCTTGGGTTCTACACTTTATTGATTTCTGTTTCATGCCTGAGCCTAGTAGGGTTTAACCCAATGCTTGGCATGGACTAACCCTCCTGCTTCTGTCCTGCTCCTCTGTAGATGAATGTATTATCATGGTTTGTATGCACATCTACATGGTTTGATGGCCCTCCCAATGGCATTATTGGGGATATGCATGGGTACTCTCTGCTCACCTGCTAGATTGTGGGCCACTCACTGCGCCTCACCAACACCCAGCTAGGGATGAAGTGGTAAGAGCTTTTAAGCCTCTGTAGCCCATAAGGAGCATGCAAGCCCTGTCATGGGTCTCCTTTACTTCACTTTCCAAATAGTCACCTTTTATTTTAAAATGTCTAGTCCCACGAGTTCAGTCTTGGTTTAAATACTCATAGTAAATTGCTGGGTTTTCCTGGTCCTCTGTATTCAAAACACCATGCTTTTACTGTAATATGGAAACTATCGGTGGCCGGCGCTCCTTCACCAGTTGTATTGCATATGTCAACCTGTTAATGATCTTCTGGCCAAAAGTAACAAAGAACTTAAGCAAATAATTTCCCTTCTCAGGAAACACCTTTGAGCCACACACATTTTCTGATAATGCCACACTCATTTAGAAATTCTTTAACAGTGACTGAAAATTCCACAAAGCTCAGATTTCACTAATTTTATTATTGTTGAATGATAGAAGCAATTGAAAGGCAGGATGATAAATTCTGAAAGGACTGGACGTCCAAAGAGAGATTTCCTCAGCTAAGATGAACATTGATTGAAAGGCAGAAGGAAAAATCATGGATTTGAATATGGCTTAACTTTGAATGCAATCCATAGTTTTCAGCAAAATATTTATAATTCTTTCAAACTATCTTTCACGAGCTCTTTAAAATATTTCATGAACTGGGGGCCAGGAGAGATGGCTCAGTAGTTAAGAGCACACTGGCTGCTCTTGCAGAGGACCAGAGTTCATTTTCCAGCACCCACACAGCAGCTAACAACCATCTGTAACTCCAGTTCCAGATCTGATGCCCTGTTCTGGACTCCCTGGGCATTGCACACAAGTGCACTTACATACTTGCAGGCAAATCACTCATACACACAAAATAAAAATAAATTATAAAAATATTTTATGAGGGGCTGGAGAGATGGCTCAGCAGTTAAGAATACTGGTTGTTCTTGCAGAAGACCCAGGTTCGAATCCCAGCACCCACATGGCAACTAACAACTGTCCATAACTGCAGTCCCAGGGTACAGCGTCTTCTGTCCTCTGCTGGCATTGCACAATACAGTGCACTTACCTACATGCAGGCAATACACACATATACATAAAATAAAAATAATAAATAAAACTAAAAAAAAATTTATGAACCATATATAGTTTTCAAAAAAAAAAAACCCTATGTACCATAGAAAGTTTTTAATAAAATAAGATTGCTAGTGAGACGAAGGGACTTTTTTAAAAAAATGCTGAAAAATAATAAATAATGTTGGGCACAGTGGCGCATGTCTCTAATACCGGCACTTGGAAAGCAGAGGCAGGCAGATCTCTTTGAGTTCGAGGCCAACCTAGTCTCCATAGCGAATTCAGGCCAGCTGCGGCTACAGGGAGACCCTGTCTCAAAAAGACCAAAAACAAAAACAAACAAAGCAAAGTGTTTCATGGTGAAGCAGGCACAGGAGAGACTGTTCCTCATTTAGAATCCGTGTCTGCAGCGCGGCTTGTGTTTCTCGAACTCTGTTGAAGTTGAAAGGTTAGCTCTGAGTGTTGTCACCAGGCGAGGTGGATTTGGTAACGATGGGTTAGGCCAACAGCCGCGGCAAAGGACCTTCACATGTTCTGTCTTTCCTTTTGTCTGCAGGGGGTGCGGCTTTTATTTTCCCAAATACTTCAGTATATCCTGAAGCTACGCAAAGAATTACAACTAGGCCAGGTACGCCAACACCCATGTGTGATTGTGTCACTCCTGCGGAGACCAGAACCTAAGTCCCATGACCTAGAGAGATCATCCCGGATCTGAAATGAGTTGCAGTTTTATTGCTGACCCTCTTGATGTGCAAACTCAGTACAGCCCAACTGCTGCATGCAGACAGCACTAGAGGGGTCCAAGATGCCGACTTAGAAGCAGATTCCATACTTAGGTAGCTCCAAATAGCGGGACCAGCGCCTCCCATTTTCAAGTTAACGTAAAGACTGATGTGCAGTCTGTTTCTCTTCAGTGGGACAGCAATCCCAAACCAGTGACTGATTCCCAGCTCTTTGGGTGAAGCCATTTTTTCAGAGAAACATGTAGTGCATGCTATTTACATCTGAATCATACTTTATGTCTTTCCAGATGATTTAATTAGGCAATTAATTTCCATATCATTCATACAGAAATAAACATTTATCTAATGCCAAGCACAAAAATAGCCTTTGGGTATATAGACCTGAACCGGCTCCAAAACCTGCCCCTCTTTAGAAAGCTTGCTTGCACATTCCTTTTGGCTTGGGGGTCTGTTGACTGCCTGCCTTGTCTGGCTGGGCCCACCTTGAAGGGTACAGTAGTAAAGTAGTAGGAAGATTTAGCCTGAAGTTCTAGAAGGTGTTCGCATAGTGCAGTGGGAGCCAAGGACAGCCAGAGACTGGTCAGTGGTTCTGTACATAAAGCACAAGAACTGGTGGTTGAGGCGTCCCCTAGTGGCTGCAGGAGCAGGAGGCAGTCCGACCACATGATCAGAACCAGGAAGCCTTCAGAGAGCTGGTGGATGCCCGGAGAGGAGAGGTCGACATCTGCCAGGGGATCAAGTAGGAAGGAAATTTCAGGTGGAGGGTGTAGCACTCTTAGACCCCCACCCGTTCGTGGTAGTCACGGCCACTTTGTGCTAGCCACGAAGCTGAGGGAGTCATGGTCCCAGGCAGTGGGAAGCGTTTTCTATATTCTTATAGGGAGGTCTAGCACTCATTATTCCTCAGCGCAGCTAGCCCCTCCTTGACCTCTCTTACATGTCCAGTCTGCATGAATCTCAGTTGACCTGGTCCCAGATCTCAGGCTTGGAAACTTTCCAGTGAGGAAGACAGATCAAGGCTGAACAGTGATAATGTGGACATGGCTTGTACCCCAGCCCTGCCCGGTGTAGCTGCTACTGTCCTAGCAGGCTAGCAGTTTTCTTTGACCTGACCTGAGAAAGAAAGCTTGCGTCCCTGCTCCCAGTAACCATGTGGAAAGATCCAGCCAAAATCCTCTGTCATGTTATAGGCCAATGAGTAATGGACTAGACCCAGTATCTGCCTGAAAAATCTGCCAAGTATATTGAAAAGCAGAAATGCTCCCTTGACCCTGGCTCTAGGGTTTGCCCAGTTTACTGTCACCAAATGCATCTTGGCATAAGCACAGAGATGGGTACGAATGGGTATTAACGATTGGGAGCTTTTAAAAATGCCGCCTGTACCTATAGTTAAAAATAAATAATAAAATCTGTCTGCAGAGCATTTTCCCTTTGAGGTTAATTAGTTAAATGTTTTAAATGTGTTTGTTTGAAGCCACTCATGAATGCTGCTGGCTGGGTCTCAAGGCTAGGGTTTGTGAGCTGGTCTGGTGAACTGGTTGGATAGGACAAGGGACCATACAGGTGCATCGATCCTGTTGTGGGGTGGTGGATTCAAAAGGGTGGCATGTCTAAGTGTATGGAGAGGAGAGTGATTGACAGCAGAATTATGGCTGAGTTTCTCTCTGTGTTTCATGCCAGGGAGGGTAAGTGGCAAGTTCGGCGTGGCAGGCCACTCTAAGGTGCCTGTCTTACTGAGGTGGCCCTTACTGGAGCGTGACTTTGCAGAGCTTACAGTTCTCTTTCCCCATCACTGATGCAACCTGTTCCTGAGACTCAGTTTGTGTGGGAAATACTTCTTTTGATTATGGCTGTCACCATAGAGTCCCTGGAAGAAAAAAAAAAAGCAAGTTTCCTGTTTTATGAGTTTAGATCAGATAGCAGAGATGCTCCACCCGCGTAACATGTAAAGAATTTAAAGAAGACCGAACAAGGCAGAGGACTAGTCGCTGCAGGCCAGACTCATCCAAACTCAGAGAAGGTAGAGTTATTTCTCCATCTTGGGCTAGCCATCACCAAGCTGTGGACCTTCCAGATGTGCTGCCATGACTGAGAAAGCCTGTGGAGGTGTGAATGAAGACCCAAGGGAACGGACTGTGCCAGGTTGTCTCAGAGCTGCAGGACGTGAGGCGGGGACCAAGGGAATTGACTCTCTTCCTGTAGTCAGTGGGAGTGATGACTGGCTCTTTCTTACAGGATCCTTGGGGACAGGGACCCATGTTCCTGTCCTCCACCCACCCTGGGATATCCATTTCTCTAATCCAACATCTATGGATAGAGGATGTCCTAGTTTGTTTCTACATTGCTGTGACAAAATACTCTGACCAATACCAACTTGGGGAGAAAAGGATTTATTTATCTTATATCTACCAGGTCACAGTTCATCAGGGAGCCCAAGGTAGGACCTCAGGACAGGAACCTGGAGGCAGGAGCTGGAGCACAGGCCATGGAGGAACGCTGCTTACTGGCTTGCTCCCCTGGCCCCTGCTCAGCCTGCTTTCTTATTGCAACACAGGCCCACCTGCCCAGCTGTGGCACCACCCACAGTGGGCTGGGCCCTCCCACATCACCCACAAAAAAGATGCCCCTCAGACATGGCCACAGGCCAGTCCAATAGAGACAATTCCCCAACTGAGGCTCCCTCAACCCAGGTGTGTCAAGTTGACACTAAAGCTATCCAGCACAGAGGACTCTGGTCAGCACGCAAGTGCTGATCCCAAAGAAAGCCAAGTTCCTAAGTAATAAGTCCCTTTAGACTCTAATCAGCTCTTTTCTATACTAATGCTATTTCACCATAGAGTCCCTGGAAGAAAAAAAAAAAAGCAAGTTTCCCGTTTTATGAGTTTAGATCAGATAGCAGAGATGCTCCACCCGCGTATTCCATCCTTCGAATCCCGCTGCCCGGTGCTTCCTTCCCACCCCACCCCCTTTCCTGATTTTGGTCACCCCCTGCCAAGCTGCCAACCCAATGTCCTTTTTCCCTTTTTTCTTTGATGTCCAAACTTCTGCAAAGAACTATCTATTCCAGAGCCCCTGGGTCATCATTTCAGTATCACTTCAGAGTTAGCAGGCTTCCCAGTTGTCTTGTGGGTCATAACCTGGGGACACTGTTCTGCCTTATTCAAGTCCCACCCATTTTTGCTTTCTACACTCCCTGATTCAGAACATGGCACCTGGATCAGTCCCCCGCCTCTAAGATGTTAGCATGTAGGCACGTCACGGTGTCGTTAGCATGTCGGCTCATCACGCTGTTTTGTGGGTTTATGATCGCTGCTTTGGATCTGTTTCTCAGGTTGTTGCAGTTACTACCACCAAGCCCCCTCCCCCACCAGTCTCCTTTCCCGAGTCCTCTCCTTCCGAAGCTACTGCCCTTTGGGGCCGCAGGTTCAAGGGTCAGAAGCCAAGACAGATGCTATTCACGGCATCTTGAGAGCCAGAATATGACATTATGGGGTACCACACAGCCTGGCCCCTTAAGACTAGGTCAGAAGAAAGCTAGGCCTAGTACCAGAAAGCTCCTTCCTCTTCTCTGTCACCACAACAGGCCTTACATCATGAAAGGCACCTAGAGTGTCAGCAAAGTAACTAGAGAGTGTAAGTCTGCACACACGGCCTTGGGAGCAGCCTTGAGGCCGGTGCGCTTGGGAAATTTCTTGGGATCTTCCTCTAGTCTTTCATGAAAGTGAAACCTGGTGCTGTTGAACATATCCCAGCTTGGTGCCCCCACAGCTGCCGCGCTCTGCTGTTAGGTGCTGTGTAAACCTGAGGCCTTGACGGTTGGCGCAATCCATTCTTTACTCGCTTCCAGCTCTAAGCACAGAGGGCTACACGCTCAAGCAGAATCCATGCACATTGCCCCGTCTCCATGTGTTTGGTACAGGATTTAAGAATACCTTAGAAAGATCCAGAGGAAGGTAAAGAGCAGGTTGATTACCGCGGGGCTGAGTCTATCAGTTCCCTCCATTTCACAGAGGTTTATAGATCCATTGTAGGTGGTCAGTCTTGGTCTTTCTACTTTGTGTTCCTCCTCAGCTCAAGTACAGGACAGGAGGCCCATTTCCTTTCTTCCCATCCCCATCCTCCAGGGTATCTTCAGAGCTGCCTTGTAGACCTGGCATGGATACTTTGGAATGAGGAAGAATTTCCAAGAGCCAAGCTCTGGCCCTTTAAAATGCAGAGTGGCTCAGTAGAGGCCGAGGAAGCTGGGAGCCCTTTCCAGTGAGCTGAGGGAGAAAGAATAGAGTTGGATAGAACTTAGCACGCATGGAGGAGAGAAACTAGGATGCTGACTTGTTGATGGCTTGGCAAGGGTGTGCTTGGAAGGGTCTTCACAGAATCACAAACTAATCCTGGTTCCTAGCAAACACATGAAGGTGCTGTGTACGGAGAGGACACACCAGGCAAGACCCCCCCCCACCTTTGTGTCTCCACGCCGTGGCTTTTGTCTGAATTGTGGCTTAGACTGTGCTTCTGTGGACACTCCACAATGCCCGTGAAATTGCTTTAATAAAATTCAGGTCTTTAAATCATTTTCAGCAAATACAGTAGCAAAGTGATTGCCCAAAAGGAATTTTGCACACACCTGTGTGAGTTGATTAGCTTGAAGATGACAGATAAAAAGAAATGGGGGGCATATCGGGATGGTCACCCCAAAAAAGTATAAAATGTGTTTTATCAGAAGTCCTATACCCTGCTTTCAACAAAGGATGTGTAGCAAAGACTGATGGGTAGTGATTTTCTAAGCTGTCAAATGTAGAAGCGTTCAACACTGACTCTGTGGTCACTCTGATTGTCCCTCGTCAAAGAAATTCCCAAGGTCAGCATTTCCCAGGTCGCCACCCACAAGAGAGGGCTTAGTGCCCACAGCATGTGACCAGCAGCTGGTAAGGAAATGTTGGCATAGAATCCCATGAGAGAGAACAAGACCTGCTTATCTCCCTCTGCAGTGTGTTTATGAACATGTTAATCACTGATCATGCCAACATCTCAGATACGTGGCTGAAAATGACACTCGATTTGGTCGTGTTTAGATCCTGAGTTATTTCCAAGGAAAGATGGGGCATACTTCTTCACCCTCCAAAGGGTTTTATGAATAAAGATATTTTGGTAGTCATAGTTCGGTGCGCAGGCCTTTGTCCCACCTGCATTTCATGAGTGGTACTTTGCTTTTCTGTATTCGGTGGTGGTTGATAAACCCGTGGCTCTCCTGTAATTCTGGTTGTAATTCTTCCACCTCAGGCCAGTGAGTCGCTCTAGAATCCAGAAGTTTGTTCTAAATTTGTATGAGCGTACTCCAGATAGCAGTCTTGAAATCGTTATCTGTAATAATGGGGATTCTTAGAAGAGCAATGGAAAATTTCTAGAGATAGTTTTGAAAAATTCAACATGTGCCCAAGTGGCCTGGGACTGTGTTAAAATGCTGGTTCTGTAGGTCCTGGGAAAGATTCTGTACTTCTAACTCCCCCCACATGTTTCTTTGGCTGCTAGTCCACGGAACACACTTTGAGAAGCGAGAATCTAGGACCTCCGTCTCTGGATGTCATTTTGTGTCTGTCTGACCCTGAACTAGGCAGGATGGGAGAATTGCTTTGTTAGTAGATTATTCAGCCTAAGACAACTGTCGTATTAAAACTTCTGCTATCTATCTTTAAAATAAATATTATTACTTTGTATTTGTTTTTAGAGGGGTACAGGTGGTAGGGGATGTGTACAAGCCACAGGTTGCAGGAGTCAGTTCTCTCTTTCTACTGTGTGGACTCCGGGAATTAAACCTGGGTTGTGAGGCTTGGCAGTAGATGTCTTCACCCACCGAACCATCTCGCTGGTCTCCATATTTTAAATTTAAATTTTATTTTAGAAAAAAAAATGCAGCTGGCTAAGAATCCATTTGCAAAATGCTCCCAGAGATGTGAGATGAAATTTAGTTGTAAATTGATAGTGGCTGTGGCTTTAACTCCCACATGCTGCCCCGACTCCAGAAAAGCTGAAGGATCCAGAATGCTAAAATGCCACCAAGAAGAGGGAGCCATCGCGGAGTTTAAAAGTGAAACTGTGTAGCCCTGGGAGGCCCAGGAGGGTAGAATTTCACAGACCACACCAGTTGTGATGCTTGCAGCCAAACAGACCGATTGAATTAAAGCCTTTCTGTGTTGAATTTCACATTGTGCATCGTTTCTGTTCGCTTTGGGATATGAACATAGAAGGAGATACACACTGCAACATAATCAGCGCTTTGAAGGCTGACCCACCACATTGCCAGTTTTAAATGAGGTTAAATGATTTGCTGAGAGACTCAAAATAATTGCATCACGCCGCCCTCCAAATGAGAGTTTTGTGGCCGTCTCCTGGTGCTTGGCAGAACACCTTCAGAAGTATCAGGCTATGACTTTCAGTTGGCCCAGAGGGGCCCTTGATGCTGAACTGGGACCAACCAACCCAAGAAAACAGTTTTCTATTTAAATTTGTTAATTATTTTGTTTCTGATTTTGAGGAAGGGTCTTACCCTCTAGTCCAGGCTGTTCTAGAGCTCACTATGTAGACCACATTGGTCTTGAAATCATGGCAGTCCTCCTGACCCAACCTCCCAAGTGCTGGGATTCCAGGCATGAGCCAACACACCCAGATCTTGTTTGTTTGAGATGGAATCCCGTGTAGCCTGAGCTGGCCTAAAATTTGGTATGTAATTGAGGAAGACTTTTAACTCCTGATCCTCCACCTCCCAAGTACTGGATTACTAGCATGGGCTATCACATTTAGCACATAGTTTTAAAATGACTTTGTAATATAATCTCATGTACAAATGGCCTCAATATATGCATGGATATTAAGGGAAAAATGGGATATATTTTTGAAAGAAACTTGAAATGACTTAGAAACCTCGATGATTATAATTGATTTATGTTGAGAATATAGATCTGTAGTTGTTAGATCCGCATCTGCAAAGTGGCACAAGTGATATTATAAATAAAGACATAAAAATAACTGACTTGTAACTAGGCTCAGAAGATCATTGTTAGAGTGTTGTGGGCTGATCCTATTTCAGTCCTGAATTTGCTTGGTGCAATTCATTTTACAAAAATACTAAATTCTTTTAGAGAAAGAGAAAGAGGAACCATTTGCCTAGAAAAACCACTAGACCAATTAAGACCGACAACATAAGTAGATAAGATTATCAAGGGGTTATGCCACACGTGGTGGTGCACGCCTTTAATCCCAGCACCCGTGAGGCAGAGGTAGGTGGATCTCTGTGAGTTCAAGGCCAGCCTGGTCTACATAGTGAGTTCCAGGACAGCTGGGGCTACAAGGAGACCCTGTCTCAAAAAGACCAAAAAAAAAAAAAAAAAAAAAAAAAAAGATTATCAAGGGGAAATTAAGGGTTGTCTAGGGAGGCAGCTCACAAGTAAGAGAAGACAATGATCATTTCCAAGAAGGAAGTGGGGACAGGAGTGTGAGTTTCCTTATGCAGATTTGAGGGTAAACTCCAGCAAGACCTGGTAGATTCATGCCCATTATAGGCTCAGGCTCAGATGGGTCCTGAAGACTTGGTTGGTCTGGTGATAAGTCAGATTGTAAAAGAGAAAATGTTCTATGGTCTTCTTGACCTCTGGTTGTAGGACAAAGCTTTAGAAGGGTCAGTAAGAGGGGCTGGGAGATGGCTTGGCTTTAAGGTACTTGCCATGTGAGCATGAGGACCCAAGTTTGACTCTCCAGCACCCACATAAAGATTTGGGCTGGATGGCATGTGCCTATCCAGGGTAGCCAAATCCATGGGCCCCAGATGAGGCTCAGTGAGAGAATCTGTTTCAATAAACAAGGCAAATGGTGCCTAAGGACAGCACTCAAGGTTGACCTCTCTAACTAGCCTTCACATGCACATGCACCTGCATACACGTATGTACACACAAATACCCAGTGCATGTGCACATACACAGAGAGAGACAGAGACAGAGAGAGATAGACACACAGAGACAGAGGGTGACAGAGACAGCAAGCTTTGGAATAATCAACTAGATGAAGGAGAGAATTTTCAATCAAGAAAATATACAAATATATAACATGTACACAGTCTAATTTATAGAGGAAACCCAAACCTAGTGGAATCTAGAATTAAATTTTTTTGGATTACTGCTTTTTTATACAATGTTTATTTTAAGAAACACAAAACAAAAAACATCTGTTATCAAAATGACATTATTAGTTTTTTAGTCCATTTATTTGTCTTTACAGATTTACCTTATGAGCCTCCCAGGAGATCAGCCTGGACCGGCCACGGCCACCCCACTCCTCAGTCCAAAGGTACAGGCTTGGTCCCTAGTCCCCTATAGACAGTGATGACTGTAGCCAGGAAAAATTAGAATTTCTGTGGTTGCTCTATGGCCTTTTCAACATGCAAAGGGTATCTCGTTGGAATGAAAACAGGTGACCTTTGAACTCAGTTTCTTTCTGTTTGGGGTCTATCTACTTCTGTAACAAAAAGAAATAAATGAGACCTATTTTCTCATGGATGAGCGTAGTTTTCACGGGATTTTGAGCCCTGATTTAGCAACTGCTGATTTATCTCCTTCATTCTAGCTGATCTTTGCTTTCCTTTCTTTCCTGGCAGTTTTCCTGTGTCTATTTATTTTGCACCATAATTCACTGAGTTTTGTTTTGTAAGCCATCTCAAGTTCTTTTTATTATGTTTGGAAGCAGTGCATATAATAGATTGTTAAAATAATGAAAAACATTCCTGTTTGTTATAATATTTATGTCATTTCATTAGAAGGGAGAATTTCTCCTTACAAGATGCTTCTTGTTGTAAGAGTAAGATTATCATGCTGATAATTTGCTGATGGAATCATTATTAAATAAACACTACTAAAGACTTACAGCCCAGTCTAAGATAGAGCTAATTTGCTAATTTTCTTTGTCATTTTTGGATTTTCAGCTGCTCAGCCATCTCCTTCCACAGTGCCCAAGACTGAAGACCAGCGTCCTCAGTTAGGTATGTTTCACAGATCACCCTGGGAGCCTAAGAGAGGTTGAGGTCAACAGGGCATTTCTAAAGTGTGTCCCCTTTAAAAGGAACTTAGCATTGTTTTTCTACTTCAGAACTGTTCTGTATGTAAAATGAAGTCCAAACAAATTTGTTGTTCAGCTGGGAGGACTTGAGATTCCCTTAAGATGTTTCCGGAGCCTGTGCAGTGATTGTAGAGGAAACATTCTCCTTGCATGGGAGCTGTGGCTTTCGGATCTATGAATTCTGTTGCTCCAACTTTCCATAGTGTCTATACCAACACCATTGTCAACATGTCAAGTCCAAGATGGGATGGAAGGTTAACACTGAACATCATGGCCCTCGTGGGGCTGGGGTCAACCGTGGACTTAACTCACATTTGCTCCATTAATATCCTAGGTTACTGTGAGCTGTGGGTCAGGTGTTGGGAATCTGGGCATCCAAGCTGTTCCACCAACTAGAATGCTTCCAGCAAGAAACTCCCAAGACACTGTGTGACCTCTTACCTCACACAGGAGATCCAGGCAGGGATTCTGGGGTGGGGAGTGTTTTTACCTTTCCACCATGTAAGCACAAGTCTGTCAACCCGAATTTCATCGTGTGAAATTTATTTCCCAGCCATTATCTCCGAAATTTACTTCTTTTCTCTCTGCCGTAGATCCTTATCAGATTTTGGGACCCACGAGTAGCCGCCTCGCTAATCCAGGTGAGACACTACCCATCAGCCTGTCCTCACAGTGACTTACCAGTCAGTGGTGATTTTAAAAGATGAACTTGTACTGGTGAGGAATTCCCCCAGCTGAGCAAACTTCACTTTCTGGTCTCAGTGGACTATTTGCCTTGGTTGAAAAAAAAAAAGGATCACATTATAAATTAAGGCTTTAGCCTCAGCAAAGAAGACTATACCCAAATTGAAGCTGTACTAGTTCTTAGGGAGGTTGCAGCAAAGTACCCACACGTGTTGTCAGCTCTGGGGGCTGAAGTCTGAGGCTGGTGTTACAGGGCAGCCCTGTGGGCTGAGAGGAAGGGATCGACTCTGGGCCTCTCTCTGAGTCTTCTGGATGACCAGCCTCTTCCTGCGTCTCTTCTCAGTGCCCTTCCTCTCTATGCGTATACATCCAGAGTTTACCTTGTATGTGTGTGTATGTGTATCCATGTGTCCATGGGTATATGTGTGAGTGTGGGTACACATGCATGTGGAGAACAGAGATCAGCTATCAGACACCAGAGTTTGAGTGCTGTCTATATCCCCCCACCTCCTCCTCCATCCTCCGTCCTCCATCTTAGCCTTCGTCCTCCTCCTCCTCTGCATCCTCCTGCTCTTCTCCCTCCTCCTCCTCTTCCTCCTCCCCTTCACCCTCCTCCTCCTCTTCCTCTTCTCCCTCCTCTTCCTCCTCCTCTTCTCCCTCCTCTTCCTCCTCCTCTTCACCCTCTTCCTCCTCCTTTCTCTTCTTCATCCTCCTCTTCCTCTTCCATCCTCCAGCAAGCCCCAGGGATCTGTCTCTGCCTCACAAGTTCTAGAATTAAGCATGTGCCACCATGCTTAACTTTTTGTTTTGTGGGTTCTGAGGATTGGACTCGGGTACTTGTGTCTGCATAGCAAGCACTTTATTGACTGAGCTATCTCGCCAGTTCCAGACTTGCCCCACCTTTTGTATTAAGCCACCAGTCATACTGGAGTACAGTCCACCTCGGTGACTGCAGTTTAACTTGTCTGTAAAGACATTGTCTCTAAAACAGATCATCTTCTGAACAACCAGGGTTTCATATTTCAACAAATAATTTTAGGGGACACAACTCAGCCTATCACCAAGCAGCTCATATGATTGGTTTTTAAAGGGGAGAAGCTTAGTGACAGCCATCAGATTTCAAATAACAGTCATCAGTGAGGATGTGTCTCTGAACTGAGATGCCAGTAGAAATCAGTCTTCATTGGCTCTCATGTCCCAAGCACCTGGCTGTGGACCATCACCTTTCCTCATATCTCAGTGCCAATCAGCTTGTTCTGTTTGTCTGTATTCAGATCAGAGCCAGCTGTGCTGGCACCGACTCCAGGGGTCGAAGCCATCTGCTCCATATTCTCAACTATAAGTTCGATGCCAAGATGCCACAGCCGTGCTTCAAGCACAGGCTGGAATGTCTATTTCTCCAACATTAAGCCAAACGGGGGTTGGGAAACACAAAAACTCAGATGCCGTCATCGGTACACACACACACCCCCACAGGAGAATCCATGTTCTGAGAACGTGAAATACCATTGCTATTGAACAACCGAGTCTTTGCCATGCGATTTTGATTAATGTTGATTAATTCAGTAAATATGTTCCACACAGCTCTGCAAGCGGAGGAGGCTGCTTTCTTTATGGTCTTCGCCCAGAGCACAAACAGGTGTCCAGTACTTCTTTATTGAGTCATGCATCTCTGGGATGACAAGACACAGGTCTTGGCCTTGGGGAGCTGTCAACCTAGTAGGAGGGACACAGGTAGACGCAGTGCTGTCCAGTCCATGGGGCCACAGCCTCTTGTCCCATATATGATGTCCAACTGGTAGCCAGGTCTCCCAAGCAGACCTTGTGCTCTGTTCACCTTCCATTTGTAGCTGCCTCATAGCCATTCTAATAGAAATAATGTCTGGGAAGCTGGGGAGGTGGCTTCAGGGAGCAAAGTGCTTGCTGCTCAAGCATGAAAACCTAAGTTCGAATCCCCAGAAGCCATATAAAATCCTGGTGTGGTATCATACACGTCTATAATCTCATTTCTCCTTTGTTGAGATGGGAGGAAGATGCAGGTGAATCCCAGAAGCTTGGGAGGGACACCTGAGGTTGCTCTCTCTGACCTCCACGTGTGCACCTCAGATGTGTGCACCTGCAGTCAGACTCACTAGTGTGTGCATACACACACAGACTAAAACATAATAACTAGTGGCACTGGAGAGATGACTCCATGGTTAAGATCACTGATTCCTCTTGCAGAAGACCCAGGACCCACCTGGTGTCTAACAACTGTCTGTGGCTCCAGTTCCAAGGAATCCGATGCCCTCTTCTGACCTCTGCTGGCATTGCATGATGCAGGTGCACTTACATACATGCAGGCAACATACTCAGATACATAAAATAAAAACGATAAAATATTAAAATATGTAATATAATGACTATGTTTTAAGCTGATTAAATCAGTCCTACTTTAGGAAGGCTGATCTGGCAACACAGTTGGGGACAGATTAGAAGGGGACAAATCTGGAAGCCTCAGCTCTGGGAACTTTGATACAGTCACAGTGAAGGGAAATCTGAAGGCTCCCACCCCACGTGCGCCCCCTCATAGGAAGCCTTTCCGCCCGCAGCCACGCCCCCTCCGCATAGGAGGCCCTGGGCATTTGTTAGTTCCATCTGCTAGAAGGGGAGTCAGAGGCTCCGAGATGTCACGGAAATGCCCCACTCACACAGCCAAACAGAAAGGATGCCCAGTCTGAAACGAGAGTGTCTCTGAAGTCCAGGTTTGTTTCTTGTCTCAAACTGCTACCATCTAAACAGGAGGGGAGGAGGTCTGGGGAAATGGGGACCACGAGGAAGGGAAGCATTTCCATTTAGTTGTATAACTATTAAGGTACAGAGGGTGAGTCTGACATCAGAAAGGAAGGGTGGAGGAGGAGGGAGAGGAGGAGGACGGGGAAGGGGCAAGTTATACTAGCCTTTACACTCACACCCAAGGCCTTAATGAAATGCGCTTTGACCCCTTGTTGTCTCAGTACAAAGGAACTTCCCATCTTGTTTGGAGAGTAGAGCCCAAGGGAGTCATTTGCCCCTAGGCCAAGTACTTGCTCCCAAAGGGGCCCTGCTCCTCCCTGTGCCCTGCCACCTGGTGTGCTCCCTGCAGGAAAAGGGATACCAAATCAGAGCTAGGAGATGGACGAGTACCCAGACCTGGGATGCTCTAATGTCCTAGAGCATCGCACGTGCACATCTTGTATCGCTGAGACTATTCCTGCTGAACCTAGGACAATAGCAGTCTCCAACCGTTGATTAGCAGCCAGGAGACTCCATGATAAAGATGCCCTTTAGTTTAACATAAGGAGGTTTTCCAGCCATGCATCCTCCGGCCTTGGGCTAGTCGATTCACACAGACTTTGACACTGGAATGTCTTCCATCCTTCTTTTAGGGAGAAGGCTTCTTGTTTGAGTCTCTTTTTCTATTATCTGATAAATAGATCCTTCCTCACTCAAAACTGGTTGCTTCCAGCTATTTGGAAGGCTGAGGCAAAAGGATCAAAAGTTCAAGGCCAACCTGGGCCACATAGTGAAACAATGGCTCAAAATAAAAAGTTGAAAGAAGGCTGGGGATGTACCGTGTGGTTCAGTTGTAGAGTACTTGCCTATCGTGTCTGAGGCCCTGGGTTCGATCCTCAGTACTCCCCTCCCCCAACCCAAATCAAAATTAATTTAATTTAAAAATTAAAAACAGTGTCTTCAGGGGCTAGAGAGATGGTTCAGTGGTTAAGAGTACTGGCTATTCTTGCAGAGGACCCAGGTTAAGTTCCCAGCATTCACATGGTGGCTAACAACTGTCTGTAACTCCAGTTTCAGGGAATCTGACACACTCTTCTGAACTCCTCGGGCATTGCATGACATGGGTACACCTACATGCATGCAGGCAATACATTCATACACATAAAAATAATACTAGATAAAACAGTGGCTTCACACAGAATGAACTTTTCCCAATAATTTTCAATGGAAAGATTTTGTCATGCAGCATGTATATTTTTATAATGATCTTTCTGTTTTTATTAGTGTGTGTGTGTGTGTGTGTGTGTGTGTGTGTGGATATGTAAGCATATGCCATGTGTGTACATGTCCTTAGAGGCCAAAAGAGGGCCTTTGGATCCCTGGAGTTAGAATTACAGTTACTGGAACTTGAGTTACAGATGGATGGGAGCTGGGAGCTAAACTGGGATCCTCTGCAAGACCAATGCATGTTCTTAACCATGGAGCCATCTCTCCAGCCCCTTGTCATACAATGTGAACACACAAGATGATGTCAGTTTATTGGCATCCCAACATCTCCATCCCAAACATTCACTTTGGACAGGGCTTCTCCTGCTGAGAAAGGTGTACCCTCATAATCTCATTTCATGAATCGGTGATGAGCCAGAGGGTCCCTTTATAAATGATCAGAATGGCTGAGCATTGAGCAGTTCCTCTAAGGAATTGAAATTTCCTTTCCATGGAAGAATGTCCTTGGGTTCTGTCCAGTGCCTGAACAAGAGGTGGGGCGGGGGGGGGATCTCTAACAAGTGATGGGAGTGCTTGACAGTTGCTAAGGATGAGCTGAGGCAGGGACAGTTCTGACGTTAGTCAGTACGTCTGCCACCATGTTTCTGCTCCTTAATTGTGCCATGTCTGAGCTTTGCTGGGCCCCAGCAGAGACTTCCCTCGGGTGTCCTGCAGAGGGACGTGGATTGGGTTGGGCTTGTCCACATCTCACGAGGCCCTACAGAAAGTGGTCCCAAATCACAACTGCCTTGGTGTTTGCCAGTCCTCTGGTCACTTTATTTCCAAGCTTGATTCTCACCCACTTACCCTGAAGGGCTCTCCAGGACATCTGGTCTACTAAGCCTAGGGCTGCTGAGTTACCACAGCTCTTGGCCTTCCCTGGTGAGCTGTTTAGATTTCTGTCCTTGATAAATCTTGACTTTGTTGCTACCTCTCCCTTTCTATTTTGACCATGTTGAGATACTCCCCTCCCAGAATGGAGTCAGTCTTTCTCTCTCTCTCTCTCTCTCTCTCTCTCTCTTTCTCTTTGTTTTTGGCATTTTTGACTAGGTTTTTAAAGCTATACCAACTTGAACCTGTAGCTAGGCCGGTGACCTTTGAATTTTAGTTTTGTGTTGATTTTGCCCAATCCTTTATTTTTTATAAGTTAATTACCCTTGGATAGAACTACTTCCTCCTTCCTGACACTGTGTGTCATTATGACAGGTAGAAAATACACATGGAGGATTTTCCCAAAGAAAGGTGATTCATGGGGCAGGATGACTGTGCTGCCGAAGGAAGTCTTTTTTAACATTTGTATTTATTATTTTATGTATATGAGTGTTTTGCTTTGCATGTATGTATATAGACCATGTGTATGCAGTGCACACAGGGGCCAGAAGAAGGTGTCAGATCCCCTGGAACTGGAGCTACAGATAGTTGTTAGCCACCATATGGGTACTGGGAATTGAACCCAGGTCCTCTGCAAGAACAGCAAGTATTCTTAATTGCTGAGCCATCTCTCCAGCCCCAAGAAGTCTTAACTATTTTTTCTTTTTCCATTTTCATGTGTGTGTGATGCACATGCGTATGTATGTTTGCATGCATGCATTAGTGTGCACACACATGTGGGTGTGTATGCATGTGGAAGTCGAAGGTTGATATGGGGAACCACCCTCCTTGATGGCTCTTGTCTTTTAGTCATTGAAACAGGGTCTCTCACTCAAGCCCATAGCTGCCCAGCACACCTTGTCTACTAGCCATCTTGCTCTGGGCATCTCCTGTTTCAGCCTTCCAAAGCTGGAATTATAGCAGGGCAGCCATGCCTACCCAGCATTTATGTGGGTTCTGGGGTTCTGATTTCTAGTCCTCACCCCTGTGTGGCAGCAGTTGTCCACCAAGGCATCTCCTCAGCCTGAAGTCTTATCTTTCAAGAGCATCTCTCATTTTTTATTGGTTTGGCCAGTAAGTGACCCAAGCCACATTTAGGCTTCTGTAAATCGTAATTGTATTTTTTGTTAGGATCCTGATCTATATTCTAAAATATGCCTTATTACCCAGTGAGTGTTACAGTTTGGTTGATAATACAAGAAGAAACTGCTTTTGAATTTTGTGACCATTTTACCATCAGTTATGATTTCTCAGCACACCATACCCCACACTGTGCATCCTTGAGAACCTCTGCACAGTGAGAAAATGTGTGGTCTCCATGGACAGGGCACTGAAGCCTCTGATGAATGTTAAACTGAATTTAGGGGCTAGAGACATGGCTCAGTTGTTAAGAGCACTGGCTGTTCTTACAGAGGACCACCTGGTTTTGTTCCCAGCACCCACATGGCAGCTCACAACCATCTGTAACTCCAGTTCCCGGGGATCCTACACCCTCTTCTGGCCTCTGTGGGGCATTGCACACATGTGGTGCACTTACATGCGTGCAGGCAAATACTCATACATGTAAAGTAAAAATATTAAAAAATATTAAAAAATGAAATTGAACAATTTAGGAATTGATAGATGGATACTTTTGCAATATTTATCTAAGAAGCCATCCATTCATTTTTATGTTTCTAGCTTATTTTTCAGGTTTGAAAATTAATGAGTTTTGCTTATAGATCTCTTAGTTCTATGGAGGCTTGACATGCCCCCAGGTCTGAGCCCTGTGTCTTCTTAGCTAATGAATAAAATAAAACAGCCCGGAGAGAAATGAGCTCATCTGCCCTCCAAGCTTTGAGCATCGGGCCATGCACACGGGGTTTCGTTTCCTAGCTCTTCAGAAGTGAAGGAGATGGGGGGTGGTCCGCCCCTGCTTCCCTTCTACGCTTGTAAGAGACGTGGGTGAGGGGGATACATTCCTAACAGGCATGCCAACATTTGAACAGATACCAAGTGCTATTTTAGCTCTTTAGTCAAGCCTGTGTATTTGTACAAAATCTGTAGTGCTGCTCTCCACAGAAGGAAGTTGACACCAAATATTTGTTTTCAAACAACTGTACATGTTTATATTGAGGCATATGTTAGACTGTTACATCCAAAATTCCCAGGTCATCTATGGATTTTTTTCCCAGTTTTAATCCTTTGGTAACAATATATATACTAAAACCATATGGTTCTCTCATTCCATTCTTTATATTTCTTAATGCATATTAATGAAATGTCATAGGCAACAAGACTTGATTGAGAACAGTTTGTATGTATAGTCCTGGAAAAGCAAAGGCTTCCATTCCAATGAGCTACAAGCTGTTAATACATTTCAAATGTGTTACTTGACTGAAAACAATCCTTTTCCAGAATGTATTTGAAAGAGGCTGACCTTTCTCACGATGCCATTGTATGGTGGGTCCATGGACATCTATTTCCATGTAACCCACATGGAAATGTGAATTGGATTGAGGAGAGCTGGTAGGAAGGATTCAGAGAGAGAAAATTTGCAATTGAATTTTATATTATATCAGTTCCCTGAATGAGTGCCAGTTAAAGTTGATCACTTGGTCACATCTATTCCTATTACTTATTATATCGTAAAAGGTAATCTTTCTGTTAATGAGTCCAATGCAGTGCTTCCCTGCAATCTAGGAAGAAAGACCTGCCTCCCAACTCACTTTTTAAAAAATATTTTATTTATTGTTCTTATTTTATATCATTGCATTGCCTGCATGTGTGTAAGTCCACCTACGTCCTGAAATACCCTAGGGGATCAGAAGGGGCGTTGGATCCCCTGGAACTGGTGTTATGGATGGTTGTTAGCTGCCATGTGGGTGCTGGGAATTGATCCCAGGTCCTCTGCAAAGCAGCTAGTGCTCTTAACTGCTGAGCCATTTCTCCAACCACCCCCAACTCACTTTTAAGCTTTTTATAATATGTGCCACATAATTTCGTTTCACTTAGTACCTGACATAACCATTCAGAATCTCATTCATCCAAGGTCACGTGTCCTTCTCAACCTCCGCTGTGTCCAGTGGGTGGTGTACTGCTTTAATGTGTTGATTCTCAAGCACACTGACATCCATTCATTATCTTTAGGGTAGAATACCAAGCTGAGGTTGCCAAGGAGATGCCCCATCAGACCCAAGAGTACATTTGCTAGGATTAATTAAAAGTCATTAGTCCAGATTATGTCCATTTAATGAAAGTCATTGCTACACAGGTCACCAAAAGAGCCTGTCTTGAAAAACCAAGGTGGACAGCCCCCTGAGTTTTCCTCTTGCTTTCACATATATGCACACACCTACACACGTAGCCAGCCCGATGTACATGCTGGGTCATACATACATACAAATATAAGTGAGTAGCAAGCAGGGTGGAGATGATTCTGACCCCAACACCGCACCATGTGAGCTCTTTCTGACTGAACCCCTTTCCTTTTGCTTCCCAAGACCATGATCCAGGGCTCTGTTCTCCTTCCAGAGCAGCACCTGGCACCGCAGGTACCATGAGACAACACATGGAATTCTGTCATGGTGTGTTTGGCCAGGACTGGAAATGGCAATCTGGTTTGAAACAGAGCCAACTTTTTTTTTTCTAACTTTCCTCATTTTGAGTGGGTTAATTCTGTCTGTGCTAGGAAAAGTTTTGACAGAATTACTTTCTGAGTGGCAGCCAAGTGTTGTTAGAAATAATGGTGTTTACTTCCTTTTCTATTTGTTTTTCCATAAACTTTCAGAGATACATTTCCTAAATCTGACTTATTATTTCACTTGACCCAGACAATATAAATGGTATTAGGTCATTATTGCCGTCCACAGAATGGTCTTTTCGTCCTCACAAAAAAGAAAAAAGCAGTTTTTCCATTCCTCCCAAACCAGGTTGACCTGGTTGCTCTTTGGAGGAAGGAACCAACCTGATCTTTGTCCTCTGTGAGTGAGTTCTCTGCTTTGCATAGAGGCCTCAGGATCTGTGAGGCTGGCCTGGGAGTGGTCAGGAACTGCCAAGCTAGGTCAGTTCCCTAGTGACAGAGGCAGAGCTAAGGACAAGATTACAATCGTTCATTAACCATTTGTTCGGGGGGGGGGCGCAGCACAGGGCAGGAGGAGTGGGAAGGAAGCTTTTGGCTTCCTTGGAGCTAAGCTTTTGTGCTCCTGGTCTCTAAGGACCTGTGGGGTACCAGCAGCTTACAGAGTTGGGGTGTCCCGTAGTTCCCTTTGTCAGTCTGGCTGTCTAGGGCTGTCTAGGGCTGAGTTCCTATCCAGCCAAGGCTTTGCTGTCTGGAGAAGTAGGTGGCCAAGGGACGAAAGTAGCAACAGCCCAGAGGGCAGCAGAGCAGGTCCAGGGAATCCCCCCCCCCCCCCACCCCGTCTGTTCTCACTGACTTTGTGTCTCTCGGCCTCGTTAGGTAGTGGCCAGATCCAGCTGTGGCAGTTTCTGCTGGAGCTCCTGTCAGACAGCTCAAACTCCAACTGCATCACCTGGGAAGGCACCAATGGGGAGTTCAAGATGACAGACCCCGACGAGGTGGCCCGGCGTTGGGGTGAGCGGAAGAGCAAGCCCAACATGAACTACGATAAACTCAGCCGCGCCCTTCGCTACTACTATGACAAAAACATCATGACCAAAGTGCATGGGAAACGTTATGCCTACAAGTTTGACTTCCATGGGATCGCCCAGGCCCTCCAGCCCCACCCTCCAGAGTCATCTTTGTACAAGTACCCCTCTGACCTCCCGTACATGGGCTCCTATCATGCCCATCCTCAGAAGATGAACTTTGTGGCTCCCCATCCTCCAGCCCTCCCTGTCACATCCTCCAGTTTTTTTGCTGCCCCAAACCCATACTGGAATTCACCAACTGGGGGTATCTACCCAAACACTAGGCTCCCAGCCAGCCATATGCCTTCTCACCTGGGCACTTACTACTAGAGACCCAATGGAGGCCTTTCCCATCCGTGTCCAGTCACCTAGCAGTCACCACAGACTCTATCAGAGAACACACATCAGAAGTGCCTCATGAGGAATTGAAAAGCTTGACCATGGCTGGGGAAGGAAGCCAGGAAGAGACCCAAAGACTCACAGGGGTGGGGATCACCAAAGTTTTAGTACACAAATACAGGAGGCTCCAAATGTAATGGACATGGACTTATAACCTGTGGTCCACCCTTGTCAAAGGCATTGTAGGTAGAAGCATAAAATTCTGAGGACAACTACCAAAGGATGTGGCCTTAAGTAGTGTATAAACTGTAGAGTGTGGGACCCTGTCATATAAATCAAGACTCAATGAAAGCAATAGAGAGAACAGTCTCGGCCTAGCATACCATTTGTAATGTCATTTGAAGGAAGACTACCTGTATTTAAAAATAGAAACATATCAAAACCAATCAAGAAGACAAGAGAGATGGTGGCCCCTCCGCAGACCAAATTGGTTGTGGGTCTCCTTGGCCTGTGTTTACTGTTTTGGTTGAAATCAGATTCATTCCATTTGATAGAGAGCTACACGCTCTGTCAAACTGTGAAGACAACCCGAAGTTTCATGTTTTCAGTATTACAGGAACTATGAGCCACAAGGTGGACTGGGGAAGTGTACCGAGAGTAAGTGATTGTAGAAAGAGGACTGGAAGGGGAGGAAGAAGAGGTGGAGGAGGAGGATGGGAGGGAGGAGGAAGAAGAGGTAGAAGAGGAAGAAGAAGAGATGGAGGAAGAGAAGGAAAGAGGAGGAGGAAGAGGAGCTAAGGGTTAGAAAGAAGCCGTTCGGCCTGTAAAGCCTGAATTTAGGACACCATGGGACCAAAGAGCATGAGTCAGAGACTTGAGATTCAGTGCTGTCAGTGTTATGCCAAACTCCGTGTTATGAGAACACACACAACTTAATGGAGGACTGGGGGAAGCAGAATTCAGAACCAGGAATATACATCTCTTTCTTTGTGAAAAGAAAAACGTAACTGGAATCGTCTGATACTTAAAAGAAACATTCAGGACTTGAACATGCGGTGGCGGCTTTGTCCTCTACCAGGGCAGGTGAGGGGTGACCTTCACAGCCACCACAGGCACAGATCACAAAGGCATTGTGGGTAGGTGGCCTCCAGTTTTCCTTTATGAGTCGCGAACGCTGTGCGTTCGTCAGATTGAAGTCTACAAGTCAGTGTTTTTTTTTCTTTTTATATAATAATTATATAACTTATGCATTTATACACTACGAGTTGATCTCAGCCAACCAAAGACACACCACAAAAAGAGACAATCAGTGATACAATGTGGCCTTGAGTTTTAACCCTGTAATGCTTAATGTTTACAATATGAAGTTACTAGTTTAGAATGCAGAATGTATGTAATAAAGAAAGCTTGGCCTCACATGGTGAATCAGAGTCACGGCAGTCTGAATTTGCAGTTCTTTAACTGGCCAATGTTACCTCATAGAAACTTGTGCCAGATCTTATGCGCTATCATTGTATTTTGCTCAGGGACCTTATGCAAGTAAGGCTCATGGAGCTAGGCTGTTGCACATGCAAACTGTGTGGACCTCTCACTAGCCCATTCCTGCATCGTTCGACGGGAAGACCAGAAGTTTACTTTGGTGTCTCTGTATTCCTTCTTCCTATCAGGAAAAGAGGCCCCTACAGCTGAGGTTGTCACTGAGAAATTCCAGTTCCACACTGGTCATCAGCCACCCAGATTATGTCATTATTGGTAAATCAAGCACAGACAGCTGCAGATTCTCACTTCAGAGCCTTGAGGGAGGTTTGGGAAGTGGCTCAGTTCGCACAGCGCTTGCCTTACGACTTGAGGACCTGAGTTTGATGGTTAGACACAGTGTAAAAAGCTAGGTGTGCTAGCTTGCGCTTGTAATCCAGCAACTGCAAAATGAGAAGGGGGCAGAGAGGCTGATCCCTAGAACTCACTGGCCAGCTAGCCATTGACAGACACGATCTCAAAAAGGCAGAAGGTAGTTATCCTCTGACCCCCGAATACACACACACACACACACACCATGAAGCCTCAAGTGATAGCAGGATCTCCCGGCTAGACTGCTGTTCGGATCTTCGCATTCTAGAATCATCTGAGAACTCCGTTTGGGATTCTGGGCCCTAAGGTGACCTTCCCAGCTCTCCCTTGCACACGCTGTGTTTTTCCTGACCCAACATCAGTTTTCTCGGACATCTGTTCTTCATGTCCTGGATGATGCCCACCTTGGCCAAGGCGAAGTGGTAGAGCAGACATGGCGCAGGCCGCCTGTGCAGAGAGAAGCCGGCCGTGGGCCCCTCTTAGCCTGAGTCAGTTTCTAAATTGGCCATGTTGTAGCTGTTTCAGGGCTCAGTTAGCACTTTGTAATCCCTTTGCTATGATTCCACGCACTTGCCAAACCCCTGTACTGTGGAAATTTTGGCAACGGTCTGTGAACTCGGTAGGATATGATTACCAAAGCTTCAGACACCCCTCATTACTGGGATTGAGAGGAGCCCAACCATCAATCATCCTGAAATGGCTTGGGAAAGGCCCACAGAGCTCCTGCATCTCCTCAGGAGAAAACACGAGGAAATCTTCAAAGCTGGTGGCTGCGGGGACCCCAGACAACTCTAAGGGAAACCGGCAGTGATTTTTTTATTTCACAATGCCGAGCAGAGGCACACCTGCATTCTGTGTATTCATGTCCAAATTCACTCAGATAATCACTGAATCACCCCTTTCAAGACTGCATTGTGAGGGAAATAATAAAAACAAGCCATGGTGATTATATTAGATCCTAACAGATGTTTTCAGTTAGATCCCTTGCACCCCAACCCCCCCCCGGGTTATTAGCAAGTCCAGGGACCAGTCTGAGCAACTGGGGTAATTTGAGATAATATGGTAATAGCGAGTTCCCTTGAATAAATAATTCTTAAACTGCCTTGAAATAACAGTACAAGGTTAATGCGTGATTCTGTCCTAATCTCATTCCAAAGCCTTCTCCTGTAATGAGATCCCCTGCTCCCTCCCTACTTTTTGCTTCTCCCCTTCTGACTTGCCCTGATTTAGGATGTGTTCCTTGCCTGAACCTCTCCTGTTGGCATAAGTGTATCTTCTGTCATCTTAAATAGCCTTTGGGAGTTTATATCAAGACCTTATTACCACTGCCCACTGGGTGGAGGCCCTTGCTGCGTTGTGGGGGATCCTAATGGCTTGCTTTGTCAAGATAGGTGTCAGGGCAGGGCTCTGTGCTCCTTCTGAGCACCCCTTTGCATGGGTGGTTGAGGCACGGGTCCCTGGGAGCCAGGCCTCAACCTCAGAAGGTAGGTGCTGTACCCCTGACAGAGGCCTTCAAGCTGGGGAGGTGATGCTAAACGGAAACACAAATGTCTTATAAGTCCGATGACCCTGCATCTGTGGAAAGAGCAAGGTAAAGCTGAAAACCCTGGTTGAGATCAGCGCACTAGAGCATGAGGCCCTGGCTCTGTGTAAAGAGCTACACCACTTGCTCTCACTATCATAGACAGAGACACTTCGATGGGCCACACCGTCCCTACTGTGGTGGACCAAAATCCCTGTGACTATGAGCCCCAGTGAATCCCTCCTTCTTAAAAGTTGCTTCTGTTGGCTGGTGTAAGTCGGTGGTGGAAACCTGCCTAGCATGAACATGGCTCTAGGCTTTACTCTCCGCACCACAAATAAAAATAAAAAGTCAACGTGCTCACTAACAAGTCTCTCATTATTCTGCAAATAGTCATGAGTTGACTGATCAGGTGTAAGAAGCATTGGGAATGTTCTAAGGTATATCAAGTTCTGTGCCAGCCCTCATTAAAAAAAAAATACAAGTTTCAAAAAATCTCATCAAGATCTTTTCTCATCATAAGATAGACTGGATATAGAAATGAGATATTTAAAAAATAATTAGTGCCTCTTATTTATAATCCGTAATACAGGGGTGGTTTTCAAAGTGAGGCCCATAGGTCAGAAGGCTTTCCTGAGCCAGGACCCAGCAGGCAAACAACACGTCCAGGCACTACCCAGATCTCCAGAATAGAAGGTTCTAGGGTGAGGGCCAGCCAGGTTGGTAAACATCACAGGTAACTCTGATGTGCAGTAGTGTTTGAGAACCTCTGGAAAAGTCTTTAGCTGTTTTTAGAACCCATGGAAGTTTGTCTTTTTTTTTATTGCCCCTGAGGCAGAATCTCTTGTAGCCCAGGCTGGCCTCCAACTCATTATATAGCCAAAGATGACCTTGAAATTCTCTGCTTCTATTTCCTGAGTGCTGGGATTACAGATGTGTGTCACCATAGCCATGCCTAGTTATGCAGTGCTGGGGACTCAACCCAGGGCTTCATGCTAGGGCTTGCTAGGTAGGCACTCTACCAACTGAGTGATAGCTCCAGCCATAAGGGGAGGTGTTTCCTCACTTCAAATCTCTGTTCTCCAAGAAGGACTCACCTGATTAGGCCTGACCCACCTAGGGTGGTCACTTTTATTTACTGAATCTATGAAATTCCATTTGCCTTAAATGTGACTTAGTCCTAGGAGTGTTGGCCCATGATCTCAGGGACTGTTCACAGTGTGTGTGTTAGGGAAGGTTCATCTTAGCACCCTAACCCTTCCTGCCCTTCTAGCATTTCCAAACACTGGCCAGGCAAGTCTTCATTTTATCACAAAGTTGTTCACAAACTATTATTCTGTTAGAGCAAACCATTGTATTCATTGATCACAATCTGCTTATTGTAGTCGTTGATTATAATCACCAATTGTAGTCTTTGAGTGTGTTGTACTCTAGACTCATGCAGTAGTATGTTATAGGCGGGATCTTTATGAAAAAAGAAAGGTACTTTTCAGTTTTCATATTTGAATATAATACACCCATAGAAATCAAGGTTTCCTTCTGAGATGACTTCACGGAATAGTTTGGAGATGTTTATAAGCTTGGGAATACTTGGGCAGGACCTCAAAATGTAATTAAAAGATTGGTGCTCATCCAACAGGGAGGTCAGGGTCGAACCACCAGCTTCCGCTCTTCAACTTGCTCTTACTTGACTGTGTGAGCATATAGAAATTGTTCTAGTTATTTTCTATTGCTGTGATAGAAATTGACCAAAACCAACTTGGGGAGGAGGAAAGGCTTTATTTGACTTATACTTCACGGTCCATCAAGGGAAGGCAGGGCAGGAACTCAGGCTGGGAACCTGGAGCACAGACCATGGAGGAACACTGCTTCCCCTGGCTTGCTCACCTACCTTTCTTATACAGCTCAGGACCACCCACAGTGGGCTGGGCCATCACATATCACCCAACAATTAAGAAAGTGTCCCGCAGACATGGCCATGGGCCAATCCAGTAGAGGAGTTTTCTCAGTTGAGGCTCCCTCCACCCAGGTGTGTCAAGTTGACAGTTGGAACTATGCAGCACACCCACTGAGGACAGTCCAGATGTCCCAGGCCTGAGATGACAGTAGGTCACATGGCAAACTCAGGATCCCAAAGAACAGAGTAAAGTAATGGGCTAGATTGGCAGTACCCTGGGGCGCCACCCCTGGCCTGAACACCCAGCAGTGGGGCTGAGAAGCAGCGTGTGGAAGAGGGTGTCAGGGTCTTGGCTATGAGGGCATGGAGGGAGGAAGACAAGCCAGCACCAAAGCACATGGACCAGGCAGGACCGTGAGTTGTCTCTTTACTTCACTTCTTCCAGCTGTTCCCATGAGACAGTTATTTAAAAACTTCCTAACTGAGTGAGCAGTTGGCCCAGATCACCCAAGGCCAAAGGCAGAGCTGAGACTTGATGCAGGCAGCACCACCCAGCTTCAGAACACAGATGTTCCTGCTTCAAGTAACGCGCTTCATATTGACCTAAAAGGCAGTTGGGAAGGTGACAGGTCTGCCCAAACTTAGGTCCCACTTGCCAAAATAGATTGGAAAGGAGACTGAGGCATCAACTGCGGGCTCGAATTCAGAGAGCAGCACAGGCCAACCAGTGGTAGTCTGCGGAGGACCACCTGGAGCAAGTCTTGGGACTGGAATCAAAGTTATTGCCCATTCATTCAGAATGAACTCCACTCCTGACAGCAGTGAGCTACGTGCCTGCCTGAAACAGAAAGGTGACGTCTGGACTGAAGGTGGGCGTGATGATCATGCCACTGGCCCAGCTCAAGGAAGAACCTTTCGACAGTTGAATGGGAAGGACCAGCCTTTGTCTAGGGTTCTCAGATATCAGTAATGTGACTCTGCTAGATTTTTAGCAACACACAAATGATACAGCTATTTAGATGTTTTGTTTTAGTCCTTGGACTCTATCAGCGGATGTCCTATATACACAGGTCCAGAAGGCTGGGGACATGAATGTGGGACAGGAGACTCACTCTGAGCCATTACCACTTAGTTCTTAAGAAAAGAGTCACATGAGGGGTTTAGATATTACAGACTCTGGAATATTCCCAGATGCATGCTGGTGTGCATCTCTGTGCACACTGACCTAATCCCATTCTGCTTATAGATGAAGACCACCTCCGCCTGTTTAGCGATGCAGGGTCCAGGCATACACTGTGGTGGTTGTTGGTCACAGCCTGCTCAGCATTAGACATGGCTCAGCTAAAAGTGTCAGTCTGCCTCAGGGACCCTCCGTCCAACTCTAGACTAACCATTTCCACCTCCGAGTTGGCAGACGAGTTTGGCTGGGAGCCAAGGCTGCCTTTTCATGTAGGCTCAGGAGGCAGAGGGTAAGGAAGAGAATTTGGGTTGAAGGCTGTGTGCCCATTTTGTAAAGCATTTTGATTAGCAGGCCAGGATACTGTAAGCTGGTTGTGTGTGTGTGTGTGTGTGCGTGTGTGTGTTATACCTGCATCCATGTATGTGTGCTGGTGTGTTTGTCTATACAGGGTATGTGTGGAAACCAGAGACTGATATTAGGATGTCTACCTCAATCTCTTCTCCATCTTACTTTTCGGAAACAGAGTCTCTTGTTGAACCTGGATCTTGTCTCTCTCTCTCTCTCTCTTTTTTTTTTCTAGACTGGCTGGCTAGTGTAGTCCCAGATCCACTTGTATCTGTCCCCACAGTTACATGTACTTTCTGCCACACCCAGCATTTTTATATAGATACTGGGAGTTTGAACTCAGGCCCTCATTTTGCACTGCAAGCGTTTTAGCCACTGAGCCATCCCCCAGCCCCAACAACATTTCAAGTAAGTTTTCTTGTTAATTTCCTTCTCCCTTAGCAGGAATAAACCTGGAAAGGTTGGAAGTTGGTGGTGGTGACTCCCTCCCTTACCTATGAAGGACCGGGGAAAGGGAAAAGTGGGGTGTCCGTTTTGTTTCCATGGTCCCAGGCCACAGTCCTATGGTGGGGGTCCTAGGCAATGGTCTCAAGCCATAATCTCAGGCCAAAGTCCCAGACCATGGTACCAGAACATGGTTCCAGGCCGGCATTTTGAATCCACAGCCATCAGAACAGTGAGCTGTGAGCCAGCTGCTGATGGCACTGGGAGACTGGCTTTATCAGGTCCAGTAAGGAACTTTTCAATGGATATCATACCATTTCTTGCTTTTCTTGATGTTAATAGCAGCGGTGGTACATGCCATGCACACTGAGCATTTATATTTCACTCGCACGGCAGCCCTCAGAGATACGCTCATCTGTCTTTTTAATGTGAACTCGAAGCAGCTTTGAGATAACATTATAAATCACTCTAAGTCATAGGAAAACTTTTCAACTTCCAGGAATCAGAATCTCATGGCCTTCCTAAGCCATCGGTTGGATGGCCTTCCCAGGCTGTCAGGCTAAGTACTCTTCTCATATCTTGGAACACTAGGCAGTAGCCTGGCTGGTGGCAGTTATCAACAGGAAGCAAGCACAGCCCTGCCATTTCCCCATCCTGCCCTTCAGTCGTAGCACTGGAGAGGGGCTGGCTGGCGATGCTGGGCACACTCGAGGCCTCTGCTGCAGCATGCAAAGCACGCATGTGTTGAAAGCATGTGACTCAAACAAGTGCCAGCTTCTGGGTTTATGATCTGTGACGGTGAAGAGACTCCTGCACCCAGAGGCCGCTGACCTGGTGTTTTCACCGCTCTATTTCTTGCTGTCAGAGATAGAGAATGGCTCACAGTCAAGTTCTTCCATTCCCACATTCAGCATCAACAAGGAGTCAGGCAGATAGATGCAAATATCCCTCTAATGAGAGATCAGTACTGGGCCACTAATACCTCAGCCCTCTCACTAATGGGGTTGCTCAGCCACAGGGCAGAAAGTGGCTCCCCAAAGATAGAGACCATAGACAACTTCAGGGTAGGTCCTACCTGTGCTGTCATCACAGTCTCCCTCTGTCCTTTCCCTTGCCTCTGGCATAAGTCATCTAAAAAGAGGGTAAAATGGGGCACAGTGGTGCACATCTCTGAAGCAAGTTGCTAGCCTGGGTATTTAGTTTGTTTTCATTGCTGTGCCCACAGCTCAGCTCACGTTCTTTGTAATGTGATAAATTCACATTCTAATTCAGGACCCAATCTGGAGGAATGAGGCCACGGGTAATGGACTTGGTCATCCCTCCCATATCAGTTAACTTAAGATGATATCCCTGCAGACACACCCACAGGCAATCTGATGTAGACAATCTTCACCGAGATTCTCTCCCTGAGCGATTCCAGATTGTGCCAAGTTGACAATTACAACAAATCATCACACC